TTTGGGTTCTTTTTTAGGTTTTCTTCTTCCTTTTTTATTTCCCCCATGATTTCCTTAATTTTCTGATGTTTTTGCCTATTCTTTATTGCTTTTTGTTGTATAAAGTTCCCCCTAATCACTGCTTTACTTGCTTCCCATAACATATTTGTATCCCCATTGTCATTTAATTCAAAATACTCTTTTAAAATCTTTCTGTTTTTTTCTATATCTTCTTCTTTTTTATTAAGTTTTCATCAAGTCTCCATCTCCTTATTTTTTCTATCCATTCTATTTTTAATTCTATGGGACAATGATCCGAATCTAATCTGGGTGTAATTTGTATACTAGTCACTTTCCCTAAAATTTGCGGTGACGCCCATACCAAATCAATTCTTGACCAGTTTTGAAACCTGGCCGAATAAAATGTATAATCATTTTTATTCCCATTCTTGATTCTCCATACATCCTTTAAATTTAATTTTTCTAGTAGCTTTATCAATATCTTTGGGAGGTTTTCTTTATCTTTACTTTTTTTGTGGCATAATTTTGTTTGCTTCTATCTAGATCTCTATCAATTACCCCATTAAAGTCTAAATTGGTCATAGGTTTGGTCCTCTATATTTTTCTTAAGTTTTTCTGTAAATTTTATTTTCGATTCATTGGGAGCATAGATATTACAAATTAGTATTTTTTGATTTCTCATTTTGATATTAACTCCTAACATTCTGCCCTCTTCATCTTTAAAAGCAAGTTCCGCTGGGATCTTTATATCTATATACGTCACCACCCCCCTTTTCTTTTCTTGAGCTGAGGCTATAAATGCTTGTCCTAATCCTTTATTTTCTAAATGTAATATGTGGTCTTGTTTTATGTGTGTTTCTTGTAAAGCCACAACATGAAACTTTTTCTTTCTCAGTCTATTAAAGATTTTATTTCTTTTTTCCCAGCGCATTAATCCCATTAATATTGTTTGAGTATATTTTTAGCTCATTCATCCTTGTCTTTCTTGTTCTTGTCTTTTTTGTTCTGTTGTGTCTTCCTCTCCTTCTTCTCCTTCTTCTCCTCCCTCCTCCTCCTCTTCTTCTATCTCCTCCCCGCCCTTGCCTTCTTCCTTCTCTTTCTCTGTCTCTCCACCTTGTGCACCTCCTTTTGTTTGTCCTTCTTCTCTGTATTCCTTTCCTTCCGATTTACTCTGATTATTGTTGTCTTCATTTTTTTCTTTTTCTCTGTTCTTTTTGAAGTCTTCCTTCTCACTTTCTCCTTTCCCTGCTCTCTCCTCTTTGTCTCTTTTCTTCATTTTTTCCCTCTTCAACTCTCTATCTCTATCTGCCTCCTCTCTTCTTATCTTTTCCAGGAATTCCTTCGCTCTTTCTAAGTTCTTAATCCAATATCTTTGGTCTTTGTATGTGACCATTAGGCCTTCTCGCTCCCACCTGTATCTTATCCTGTATTTTTTTAATTCTTCTGTCAAGAAATTGTATTTTCTCCTCCTTGATATCACCGCGTTTGGGAATTCCTTTAGTATAATAATTTTCTTCCCTTTGTAATAGACTGTTCTTCTGTTGTTTATTTTTAAAATTTCATCTCTTGTCGTTTTTTTTGCAAAGTGTACCACCACGTCTTTTGCAACTCTGTTTTTCATTGCAAAATTTGTGTTCACCCTATATACTCTATCTGTTTGGTCTTGCATTTCTTGGTCTGTGTACTCTATTAATTCCGCTAAGATTTCTATCACTTTGTCTCTTATATTCTCCTTTGGGTCCTCTTCTATATTTCTTAGTCTCAACTGATATTCCAGTTCTTTTGTTTCCATTCTTTCACATCTCTCTTCAAGTCTTGCGGTTTTTTGTTCTAAATTCTTCATTTTCTCTTGTAGACCTTCTTGCGTTTTTTTATCTCTTTTTTTCCATTTTTAATTCCTTTAACTATTGTTGCATTAGAGTTAATTCTTTCTTTACTCCTCCTATTTCTTCTTTTATCTCTTTCTTTAGGTCCGCCATTTGTTCTTTGGATGCTTTTTGTGCCAAATCTTGTTTCTCTTGAACTGTTTGAATCTCTTTCATTACTTTTTCTGTCATTTTTTCCAAGAGTTCCTTCACGTTATGTTCCTCCAGTAGCGATGCTCTTCTAGCTGAGCCTTTTGTTTCTTTCTGCTCCCTTTCGGTCTTTTCCGTCTTATCAGTCTTATCTGTCTTGTCCGCCTTGTCTGTCTTCTCTGTCTTGTACCTTGTATTGTACATTTTGTTGTTTTTTATGTACTTTGTTTGTCTTTGTAATTATCTTCAACTTCCACTCTTCCAGATCTTCTCTTGAAATTTCTCTTTTTTGTTTTTCTTCCTTTAATATAAATATATTATTTTTATTATTCTTATTGCAGAGATTCTATCAACTTATATATTTTATCTTTCTTTTAATTATTTTGATTTATTTTGATTATTATTTTTAATTTAATTTTTTTCTTATTTTTATATTATTATTTTTTCTTATTTTTATTATTATTTATTATTGTTTTTATTATTTTAATCCTATTGTTTGTATTATTGTTTTGCTTTGACGTTCTTCCTCTTACTCTTCTTTTCTTCTGCTCTTCCCCTTATTGCGTGTCTTCTTTCCAGCCTCCTTTTCTTCCCCTTTCCTCTCCTCCCAATTATTCCAGTTATTTATTTATTTGTTTTTTTCCCACTGTCTTACCGTCTTTGGTTGTCTAGGTTCCTCCTGGGTTCCTTTTCTTTCTCGTTCCTTTCTCTCCTTTTATTTTTCCCCTCCTCCAGTTTGTTTTATGCTTCTCTCCTCGGCTCCTCTGTGTCGCTTCCCTCTTTTATCTCTTTTGTACCCTTTCTCCTTTGTCTCTTTCTTTCTTACTTACTTCCTTGTTTGGCTCCTTGCAGGCCTCGTTCCCGTTCTCACGCTATCTTCTTGTAACCCGATCTCGCGATATCTCCTCTTCTCTCGCGTCTTCACTTTCTTCTACGGCTTTTTTTTGGACTTTGACTCAGACTGCCTTACAATTTTGATTGCCTATCTCCTGACAACCTTAGCCTCACACTGACTACGGTGACACTCTCCTCCCTACTGACTGCTTTCAGGCCTATGAGCACCACTGCTTTCTTTAAGAAATGTGGCTCTTGCAGCACTAATCTGCCAAATACTGATTTCCATTCGATGTGCTTACTTTGCTTGGGAGAGACTCATCTTCCCCAGTCTTTCCAAATTTGCCTGGCTTTTACCCCTCAGGCTCGCAGGAACAGGAAAGCTAGGTATAAAAACCTCCTTTACGAGCGCGCCCTGGCCCCGGATGCTGCCCATGGGGCTAAATGTCCGACTCCCAAACCACTTCCCATCCCTCTTTTAGGGGTGGATGTCGAGCCTGGCCCATCTCAATCGGCCCAGCAAGCCTTCTAAGGTGGTGAAATCGGCTTCTAAACACAAAGAGAGCCTTTAAAAGCATAAGAAAGTGAGGCAACCTGGTGGTATTTTGCCCTCGAGCCCTCGCTACATTTGGATTTAGCTCACCAGAAAATAGCCCATCAGCTGTCTCTGCCTCCTCCTAGGGAGGTGGAACCGCCAGTTCTTACCCCAGTGTGCAAGACCCCGACCGAGCGCCCCCACAAACTTACCTCCAACGGTTTAACTGGTGGGCGGCACTGCAACTCCATCTGTGCAACTCAGCCTCCTCAATTCATGCCGTCCGGGATCAAGGGACAACCGGAGGCTAGAGAGCACAGTCGCTCCCATGAGCGCCGCTCGTGTTACATGTTTTGGCACCGGTGCCGCTCTCCATCGCTGAGCTCCTGGACCTCCCAGTCCCAAATGTTATGAGGAATACGATCCAGGGCGTCGCCACCCATACTACTATTATAATCACGGCCATTATAAGTATGCCCTGCCCCCACCCGACCGGGGCTGCTGTTGCCATTTTAAGTGTTGCCTGCAATATGCAGGCCATGCCCACTTGGCTACGATGGGCATGTCAAGCCATGGTCAGGTGGGCGTGATGTGCATGCCCCCCCCAACCAAGCCACGTCCACCTGCGTGGACTGGAATTGGCAACAACCAACCAGCATGTCCTGGGCCCGGAGCAAAACCCCACCTCGGTCCCAAAGGTCACTCCAGTAGCAGCCTGTGCTCAGGGAAACTCCTCGGCGCTGAGCGATTCCACTGACCACATGTTGGTCTCCTCGGATGAGCCACCTCCCTCGGTGGTTGATCAACAGGGTGAGCCAGAGCCCCATTCTATAGAGGATACCAAAGGGTTTTCGGCCCTAATGGTCAGGATGGCTAAAGCATTACAACTACCAATCCCCCAACCAACCAAGGTTGTAGAGGATCCCGTGTTTCCTTCTTTACAACAATATGATCCTCTGGCAACAGTCTTACCTTCACTTCCATTCTTTTATTTATTTATTTATTTATTTTTATGCCATTTTCCTTTACAGTGAAAGAGGGAGAACAATCATAGTGATAGAAAGTTATGAAATTTAGACAGGCCGTGAGGGTAGGATAGAGAGTAAAGGAGAAGATGGGGGGTGATAGGTAAAGGGTGGGGGGGGAAGTAGGGGGTCCGGATCAAACAAGCGTGTGCGTCACTTCCGTTCAGTCCACAGAGGGATAATTGCTTCGTTTCATTGTTCCTTTTTCTTATTTTTTACTACTCCAATTCTTCTTACCCATAGACCTTATATGTCTAGTTTGAGTTTGTTTTTCCAATATTCTTCCAGATTATTCCAATTTATTTGTTTGGATTTATTTTGTTCCTCTAATTGACTCGATAGTCTGTCACAGTTCTTAAAGTCTATTATCTTCTTTATCCAATCTTCCTCCGTTGGGATTTCTTTACTTTTCCATTTTTGTGCTATTAGTATTTTGGCCACCGACGATAGGTAAAACAAAAAAATTTCTTCATTTTTCTTTAAGCCTAGATCTGTTATGTTCAGATTTTTCACCCAAATGAGCGGAAAATCTGTACAAAGTATACCTTTCAGCGGCACCATGGCTAGCAAAACAACACTTCTCAGGCAGCAATGACAAGTAACCCTGGGCCGTCAGAGGAGAAGAAAAGTAAACGTCAAAAGGAACCAAAGAGCGAGGACTCCGAAATCCTGCAAAAGAAAGACGCCTCTTTTACCGAATCCTCTCCTGCACAACCCAAAAGCGAAACCCTGGACACCATGCTGAATGACACAAGCAAAGAGATCAGCGCTTTGCTGTCAAAATATGCTCACATTTTAAGTGAGAAAGCAGCAACGGATGCTTCTTATGTGAAGGAACTCGATGAAATCATCGAAGAGGCTTCTTCCATCGAACACCACTTAATCTCAAAAAGAGAAAACGTCAGGCACCGGCTCTTTATGATCGCAGGCCCTAAGAAAAGTGAAAATGCGTCACCCGGCAAATGATTCGCACGGATAGAATTGAATAATCGAGAATGAAAACACATTTTACGTGCTTTGATTGTTCTATGTTTATATCTTATAGTTCTAAGTTGCGATTATAAACAATATACAACAATATGATCCTCCAGCGACAGTCTTACCTTCGCTTCCATTCTTACTGCAACTGTGCAAGGCCTCTGGGTTTGCTCTGGCAGTGGTACCGGCCACACCCAAATGAGCGGAAAATCTGTACAAAGTATACCTTTCAGCGGCACCATGGCTAGCAAAACAACACTTCTCAGGCAGCAATGACAAGTAACCCTGGGCCGTCAGAGGAGAAGAAAAGTAAACGTCAAAAGGAAGCAAAGAGCGAGGACTCCGAAATCCTGCAAAAGAAAGACGCCTCTTTTACCGAATCCTCTCCTGCACAACCCAAAAGCGAAACCCTGGACACCATGCTGAATGACACAAGCAAAGAGATCAGCGCTTTGCTGTCAAAATATGCTCACATTTTAAGTGAGAAAGCAGCAACGGATGCTTCTTATGTGAAGGAACTCGATGAAATCATCGAAGAGGCTTCTTCCATCGAACACCACTTAATCTCAAAAAGAGAAAACGTCAGGCACCGGCTCTTTATGATCGCAGGCCCTAAGAAAAGTGAAAATGCGTCACCCGGCAAATGATTCGCACGGATAGAATTGAATAATCGAGAATGAAAACACAAAGGGAGGAAGGAAAAAAACAAATTTGAGGGCGTAGAGGGTGAGAGGGTTTAGAGAGTAGAGGTTCAAGTTGGCGAGATAAACAAGAGACAACAATTATGGGAACGCCCTGGGCGACTAGGCGGAACGGCGCTGACAGCGTGACGGAAATACTGGGAATGAAAGGACGCGGGATGTTGCATCGGGCAGGCCGGGACCGGCCACACCCATATGAGCGGAAAAGGTTGGAAAAAGGATAAACGTGCAGGACGGACACATGGAGAGCAAAAAAAGAAAAGTAGAAGGAAGAAAGGAAAGGAAAAAGGGGGAGAAAAGGAGAAGGAGAAAAGGTAGAAGAAGGAGGAGAAAAAGAAGCTATATATTTTTTTTTATTTTTTTTCTTCTTTTATGTCTCTTTTTCTTTTTTTTTTTTTTTTTTTTTTTTTTTTTTTTTTTTTTTTTTTTTTTTTTTTTTTTTCTTTTTTTTTTTTTTTTTTTTTTTTTTTTTTTTTTTTTTTTTTTTTTTTTTTTTTTTTTTTTTTTATTTTTTTTTCTTTTTTTCCTCTTTACTTTTTTTTTTTTTTTTCTTTTTTTTCTTTTTTTTTTTTTTTTTTTTTTTTTCTTTTTTCTTTTTTTTTTTTTTTTTTTTTTTTTTTTTTTTTTTTTTTTTTTTTTTTTTTTTTTTTTTTTTTTTTTTTTATTTCTTTTTTTTTTACATTTTTTTTTTTTTTTTTTTTTTTTTTTTTTTTATATTTGTTTTTACTTTACTTTTTTATTTTTTTTTTTTTTATTTCTTTTTTTTTTTTTTTTTTTTTTTTTTTTTTTTTTCTCTTTTTCTTTTTTTTTTCTTTTTGTTTTGTTTTTTTATTTTTTTTTTTTTTTTTTTTTTTTTTTTTTTTTTTAACAAAGCAAAACCCTGGACACCATGCTGAATGACACAAGCAAAGAGATCAGCGCTTTGCTGTCAAAATATGCTCACATTTTAAGTGAGAAAGCAGCAACGGATGCTTCTTATGTGAAGGAACTCGATGAAATCATCGAAGAGGCTTCTTCCATTGAACACCACTTAATCTCAAAAAGAGAAAACGTCAGGCACCGGCTCTTTATGATCGCAGGCCGTAAGAAAAGTGAAAATGCGTCACCCGGCAAATGATTCGCACGGATAGAATTGAATAATCGAGAATGAAAACACATTTTACGTGCTTTGATTGTTCTATGTTTATATCTTATAGTTCTAAGTTGCGATTATAAACAATATACAACAATATGATCCTCCGGCGACAGTCTTACCTTCGCTTCCATTCTTACTGCAACTGTGCAAGGCCTCTGGGTTTGCTCTGGCAGTGGTACCGGCCACACCCAAATGAGCGGAAAATCTGTACAAAGTATACCTTTCAGCGGCACCATGGCTAGCAAAACAACACTTCTCAGGCAGCAATGACAAGTAACCCTGGGCCGTCAGAGGAGAAGAAAAGTAAACGTCAAAAGGAAGCAAAGAGCGAGGACTCCGAAATCCTGCAAAAGAAAGACGCCTCTTTTACCGAATCCTCTCCTGCACAACCCAAAAGCGAAACCCTGGACACCATGCTGAATGACACAAGCAAAGAGATCAGCGCTTTGCTGTCAAAATATGCTCACATTTTAAGTGAGAAAGCAGCAACGGATGCTTCTTATGTGAAGGAACTCGATGAAATCATCGAAGAGGCTTCTTCCATCGAACACCACTTAATCTCAAAAAGAGATAACGTCAGACACCGGCTCTTTATGATCGCAGGCCCTAAGAAAAGTGAAAATGCGTCACCCGGCAAATGATTCGCACGGATAGAATTGAATAATCGAGAATGAAAACACATTTTACGTGCTTTGATTGTTCTATGTTTATATCTTATAGTTCTAAGTTGCGATTATAAACAATATACAACAATATGATCCTCCGGCGACAGTCTTACCTTCGCTTCCATTCTTACTGCAACTGTGCAAGGCCTCTGGGTTTGCTCTGGCAGTGGTACCGGCCACACCCAAATGAGCGGAAAATCTGTACAAAGTATACCTTTCAGCGGCACCATGGCTAGCAAAACAACACTTCTCAGGCAGCAATGACAAGTAACCCTGGGCCGTCAGAGGAGAAGAAAAGTAAACGTCAAAAGGAACCAAAGAGCGAGGACTCCGAAATCCTGCAAAAGAAAGACGCCTCTTTTACCAAATCCTCTCCTGCGTAACCCAAAAGCGAAACCCTGGACACCATGCTGAATGACACAAGCAAAGAGATCAGCGCTTTGCTGTCAAAATATGCTCACATTTTAAGTGAGAAAGCAGCAACGGATGCTTCTTATGTGAAGGAACTCGATGAAATCATCGAAGAGGCTTCTTCCATCGAACACCACTTAATCTCAAAAAGAGATAACGTCAGACACCGGCTCTTTATGATCGCAGGCCCTAAGAAAAGTGAAAATGCGTCACCCGGCAAATGATTCGCACGGATAGAATTGAATAATCGAGAATGAAAACACATTTTACGTGCTTTGATTGTTCTATGTTTATATCTTATAGTTCTAAGTTGCGATTATAAACAATATACAACAATATGATCCTCCGGCGACAGTCTTACCTTCGCTTCCATTCTTACTGCAACTGTGCAAGGCCTCTGGGTTTGCTCTGGCAGTGGTACCGGCCACACCCAAATGAGCGGAAAATCTGTACAAAGTATACCTTTCAGCGGCACCATGGCTAGCAAAACAACACTTTTTTTTTTAATTTTTTTTTATTAATTTATCACTTTATTACATACTATTACATTTTGTACATCAACCTCTTTAACATGTTATTTTATTATTTTACTCTGACATTTCTCCCCCTTTTTCTCATTTTTTCCCCCTTTTTCCACCACAGTGCTCCCCTCCACCCATCTCAAGCCACCCTTCTTACATTTCATCTGTCCAAAATTTCATTTCTTCTTGTGACGGTAATTTTCCTTCCTTATTTTTTAATCCATTTACCACAAATCTTCCCCATACAGCATCAAAATCGCTTTGTTTCCATATACCTTTTTTAACCTTTAATATACATGTCAATTTATCGTTTATTGCTATTTTCCATGCTTCTTTATACCACTCCTCTATTTGTATATTCATTTCTTTTTTCCAATTCCTTGCTATAAGCAGTCTTGCTATAGTTAGTAAGTTTGTTATCGCTTCTTTATCCTCCTTTTTCAATTGCTTATCGTTATATAGTGATAGTAATGCTATACTAGGACTTTTATCTAATTTTATATTCATTATAGTTTCTATTTCTCTAAATACTTTCTCCCAAAAATTATTTACATATTTACATTGCCACCACATGTGTATATATGTTCCTGGTTCTTGACACCCTCTCCAACAATTTATTGAGTTATTTTTATTCATATATGCTATTCTTACCGGTGTCAAGTACCACTTCCATATTAACTTGTAATAATTTTCTTTAACTCGTATCGATAAATTTTTTAAATGTCTTTGTCCCCATAATTGTTGCCACTCTATTTCGCTTATTTTTATCCCTAAATCTTCTTCCCAAATCTCTTTAAGGGTGCACTTTTTTGTTTTTTCATCTTTCATTTCAATTAATATCTTATAAATTTTGCTAATTATACCTCTCAAGTTTTCGTGTTCTTCTACAGTCCTTCCCTTCTGTATTATTTGTTCGAATTGACTGAGTTGGCTTTCACTTCTATTATTTTTTTTCCAATTTATTACCCATTGTTCTAATTGTATACAATGAAACCATGACAATTTTATTTCTTTAAACTCTTCCAACATCCTTTCCCTCTTCATTTCCACCTTCATCCAATCCCCTATCCTATCTAAATTTATTTCCCTTACCTTTTTATCCATTACTTTTTTTAAATTTTTTGGGAACTTCTTTTCCATCACTATTGGGGTTATAATTGATCCCTCCTTTATTAACCTCCCCTTATATTTATTCCATACTTTAAGTATATTGCTCAACATTGGGTTTCTAATTTCCCTCATTTCTTTTCTAGTAAACTGTTTAAAAAATATATTCCAAGTTTCATCTTCCACTTTTCCTGAATCATTACTAAGCCAATCTATTCCCTCTTCTTTGACCATTCCTTCTATAACCAAACTTAATCTACTTGCTTCGTAATATTTTTTTATATTAGGTAACGCCAGTCCACCCTCCTTTTGCGATCTATACCATAATTGTTTATTTAGTCTGTTCCTTTTACTTCCATTACAGTACTTATTAATCATTTGTTGCCATCTAGTTAGTTCTTCTTCTGTAATTTGAAGTGGTAGCATCCTAAATATGAAATTTATTTTT